GGAACAAAGTTTAGGTTATTATAATAAGAGAGTATAGGGCAAGACGGAACGGACAAAAGGGATCGAGATCCGTTTTGCCCTACCTTAAATACGAATGATTTGAGTTTATTTTTATTCAATATTAAATGCAATTTGTGTTATTGTTACTTGCAGATGGTTAACAACTACATGCGGAACACTACCAGGGCCTCTTGGTTGGAAGAAAAAATGAAAAAAGCAATTGCAGAGGCAACAAAATCTTCAATAAAAAGTGCATCTCAAAAATATGGAATACCGTATACTACTTTGCAACGTCATGTAAAATCGAATAGTAGTAAAAAGCGTCCCTGCAGGTTTAAGCCTGTATTTAATGAAGGACAAGAAAAAAAATTAGAAAAATATTTCAGGGATTTAGATGCACTGTTTTAAGGTCTACGGAATTAGCTGGTGGTATGCTAAGTGGCAAAACATACGCCATTAAAGAATAATATTGCCGGTAAACAGTGGTTTAAAATTTTCTGAAACGTCATCCCGATATTGTTTTAAGAAGCCCAGAGCCGACGTCAGTAGCCAGATTATCAGCTTTTAACAAACCAGCTATGACGCGTTTTTATGATTTATTGGAGACCATTGTTGAAGAGCATCATATTACTCCCAATATGGACTAATATTTAACATGGATGAGACAGGTGTAAGGACCTCGTCTACAAAACCACCAAAAGTACTTTCAGTACTTACCATTCATTGTTTTACTGCATCCAGTGTTGAAATACTCAAAGAAATTCATCCACTACCCCATCAACAGTTTAAAAAACTAAGTAGGGATAGAAAACTACAAAAATCTATAGTCTATAGTCTGTAATAAATTAAAAAAACAGTTTGCTTGTGCCGAGTAGTGCCCTTGCAGGTATCCTCGAAATTTACTAACCTGCATATTAATTTTCCGTTATCACGTTGTACGTGCCTAATTATTTTTTAAATTAAATAACTTAATATATATACTCTAATAGGACACAAGTTGTTAATTATTGAAAAGAATAGAACGATAATATTAAGAACCAAAGTCAAAATTTACTTACTGAGTTTTTTCACCTCTGTATCTCTAGAAGTATCTATAAAATGATTCTCGGTCTTATATTATGAAAAAAAAACAACACTTCAATATCATATAAAAACTATAATTATGTTCCAAATGTGTCTTTCGCCAGCAACGACTGACGCATCCTGTGATAAAGCGCGGCGCGAAATGGGAATGACCCCGCGACTTTGCAACAGTCATGCAAAATTAAAAAAAGATACTAAATACCACCATACGCGCACTAATTAAAGCAAGACAAATAATCATTACAATGAAATTAAAAAAAGCTGAATTATAACCGAGAATCATATATATCACAGTATGATCCTCATCACGTGCCACCACTTAAGAGCCACACCTAGCATCTAGTTCCATCTTTGGCTTTGGCTAAGATGACACAGATTTAGGAGTTACCTTTTTTTCTCTCTTTCTTTTTCTTTTTAATATAATTAATATATAAATAAAATGTATAAATTTTTATTCTAGTTTATAGCACTTATGAACGTTGAAATCTACACCGATTCGTTAAAAAAAAATCTCAGTTCAACCGGCATGAAACCCCTCAAACCTCGGCATTTTACAGTTTCATTTACACTTAATAATAAAATTAATATAATAATCATATATAAAATATTTTTGGTTAAACTATAGACATCCTGTACTCGCGTACGGTGGTGGGAGGGGAGAGGAGAGGGGGAGGCCTTCCCTAGCCTTCCCCCTTTGCGGAAATGTACAATTTATGAGTAATAATTTTTTTTGTAAAATCATAACCTCACTTTTTTACACAGGAATATTGACACAAAGTTACTTCTGCAACGGCTTCGGCACTGCGGGAAGTGCAATCCATTCGCCCTTGCGTAGCAAATTGCAGGCACCAGTGCGAGCCGTAGCGGCTGAGGCTGGTCGCCGAAGGCGGCCAATAAACTGAAGCTGCGGAGGTGACCTGTTCTCACTCCGCGTCTACAGCTTTACAAAACACTCTAGGGGTAGGGACGACAAGACTACGTAGAGTCGGGGCGTGCTGTTTCGGTTATAGAACAGATTCGACCAATCTTATCTATAAAGTCAGGTTGCCCTAAATTCTGCTATGATAGTGGTAAATGAAATAATGTAATGTGAATTGTTATAATTTTGTTTTCTGAAGAACGTCTTGACTGCTCCCCACTGCGACTTAATTTGTTGTACATATTATAAGTCCCGTCTTCAGCCACAAATGGATTATCCGGGTCCGAGTGATTACCTTTTTTATGAGTGTATTTGTGTTAAAAAAACAAATTGACATATTTTCGTTTCGTTATTGTATTTTTTTGTGAAATTTATTTGTTTTGATTTATTTAAAATTAATTCAAAAGGCATTTCCGAAATCCAAAAACAGTGTAAAAGGTTCGAGCTTAACCCTGACAAACCTCCTAAATTGAAAACAAAATTAAGAAATCAAGTACTTGACGTCTACTTCATAATACGAGAGCAAATTGGCGTTTCGTTATAAGCAATTTTTAGTGAAATTTGTTTTTATTGTAATTAATTCAAAAGGCATTTCCGAAATCCAAAAACAGTGTAAAAGGTTCGAGCTTAACCCTGACAAACCTTCTAAACTAAAAACAAAATTAAAAAATCAAGTAATTGACGTCTAGTTCATAATACGAGAACAAATTGGTGTTTCGTTATAAGCAATTTTTAGTGAAATTTGTTTTTATCGTAATTAATTCAAAACGCATTTCCGACATTTAAAAACAGTATAATAGGTTCAAGCTTAACCACAACAAGCCTCCTAGACTAAAAATATTATTAAAATCAAGTACCGGATATCTATACCCAACCCATGTTATTAAAATATTACCTAAGTATTCATGTCAATTTTTAAAATACATTTATCTATAGCCTTGCTAGTAGGGGATTTGTACGTGAAGGGTAAAAGATATTTCAATAAATCATTCTCCTCAATCATCATGTCATTACAGCCCTCCACAAGTCCGCAGCTGTACATTCTCCTCCTCCAAGCAATACCATACAGCATAGTCCTGAGCCTCCATCGACTTCCTGCATGACGACTTTCAGGCCCCTGCGTACCTACGTTGTCCCCAAATTAACCTATTTTATAGTGAGCGTCTTTAAATTTAACACACAAATGTGAGTATTTTTGTATTGATATCTACCGTAAAAGAGAAAAGGTTCATATTATCGCACTACTTCTCGTAGACGTGACTCGTTTGCAGGTTCAGTATGTTACTTCCGGCATAAATATATGTATATATAGGCGATGGTTATACGATCATCTATCAGAAGTCATGGGAACTTTTATGATTTTCCATCTTAGATCAGCAAAGGGCACGGAGTTTCATTACGTGATAGATTCCGTGAATAAACACATTCGACTAATTCATCTAAGACGGCTCCACAACTAAAACGAAATGAAGCTTAGATAAAACGTGCATAAAAGCCACGATATAACATAAATTATCCTATTTACCTAGCTATCGTACACGTGTAACAAACTTACACGTAAAAACTTACAAACAAACATACAATTCGATTTTTATAGCAAATTCGTAAAACGAATTTGGGGTTATTTTCCTTAACATGTTCTGTGAGACTTTCCTTCTTGCCAAATTTCATCATCCTAGATCAAGAGGAAGAGTGCCCTATATATGGTATAATAATATATGGATTTGATTTACCTTAGAGGTTAAAAATATAAAGAGGATAAAATTTGTTTATGTGCAATTTTCGTCACTGGTGAAATACAACGGATATGACACAAGCCACAAAGGTGTGGTACCCCTGCGCGCACTTGTTAGGCTAACCAGCTAGTGGCCCCAGTGCCCGTTCGGGAACAGGTAACAGGGTAAAAAGAAAAAACTCCGGCGGACGGACTGCGGCCGCTGCTGTCTGTGGCCGACCGCTAAGGATTGCTGTTCACGGGCACTGACTATAGTTGTACAATACTTTACTTTTTATAATGCTATTCGATCGAAATTTACTATTTAAAGATTAACCGAGTCCTGTCACACATACAATAGTTTAAGGGTGACTCTAAATTGTGATAAGAATTTAAATATAAATAAATTTTATTGCAAATTAAATGTACATTATTTATATAACATAAATATAATATATTAAAATAAATAAGTCGGTTGCTTTTAAATGCAATGTCATTTTATTTAACGTTTTACGGATTATTTATAATCCGTAAAATTCCCATTATTTGACTTATTAATTGTACATTTATGAGTGTAATTTAATTATAAATTACATCTAATCCATTTTTCATTATTATAAAATTATAGCATCTTTTGTTTAGGAGTTTTAATTTTTTTGTAAAGGTCACAGTTTAACTCCAAACCGGTTAACGTCGAACAGTTAATGGAATGAACAAGGTAACAATTAACAGAGAGCTTTAGGCGAGTTGCACTGCAAGACGAAACGACTGTTTCGAATTTGTGTTAACAACAAATGATCTCCTGGGACACTATTAATAACATGATGCTTACATCTTCCACATAAAATTGTGTACATTTTTACGCTTTCTTACTCAGTTTACTAAATTTACTTCAAAATGTTCAAATGACTTGATACAATTTCTTTAATTTTCTTGAACATTTTTATTTATTACGTTGTTAAAAATATAACAGTTGATATAGGTGCATATGAAGACAATATGAAATTTATAATTACCTGTAAAGTCGCGTCAGGAGAAACACACATACATATAAGGCAAGTTTATACAGTAAAACGTATAATTATTAAACTTTACCCTAATTTAATTCACAAGTACTATTTTTACTTTAAAATGACAAAGCGTGCAGGATCTCAAAGCGAGAACTGGGCAAAATGCACTCGATCGGTATCGTTAAACAATTAAACGTAAGTGGGATCAACGATCTCTCGTTATCCCGATCAAATTTCGCGAAGCCAAATTATTGAATACAAAAAATATCTCTACCTGCAATACGTCCTTCAGAACAAATCAACTACAAGTCCAATGAGCACTGTATCATAATTTAAGAAGTCATCGCACATCGATCACGATCAATGAACGAAACTAATGAAAGAAATCCCCGACAACACATGTATCACACGACGCGTTCAAAGGTGGACTGCCAATAATTTGTGACTTGTGACTTCATTGAATGTGAATGGGACAACTGCGCCTTATCTTACATGACGTTTACCATACGTTTACACAATTTTAAGCTTTACTTAATATGAACATAATATTAATAATTTATCGCATTTAAATACATTCGGTTTAATCACTTTAGCAAATTAAAGTGCACTGTACCACTTAAACAATCGACGTGCGGTTCAGAGAATCGAGGCTGTGATAGTTTGATATAAACATTGAATCAGGCGTTGCTTAGTGGAAAGCATTATCCTTTTATATAATTAAAGTAACAAACGAACTTTCGAATCCACCTGATGGTACTCAAGTGGGTTTACGCTACTCAGAACTACAGAGGTGTTGTCACTCCTGTGGACTATGATGGAATGGCTTACTAGTTTTTATACCCTTCAGATTGGAACACAGCAGTGCACGCATTGCTGCTGGCGGCAAAAATAGGTAAGAGGATAGTATTTGTCCAAGTGTACTGCAGGAATCGAACCAGCGGCCTGCAGCGCCTCAGCCAATTGCTTGTCACAGCAGTAATGACATTTACCAACGCAAAGACTTTACAAACCAACTAGGTGGTCGGACTTTTTCTGCCTCTTACATTTTTGCCACCAGATAGCTGTGCATGTATTCCTGTTTGGAAAGAGAGCCAGTTTAATGTTAATGTCCTCAGAAACTCAACGGCCTCACCCTTTTTCATCCAATTCTTGCGATCTTCTGCTTCTGCACCGTACTTAAAACTAAAGATGGGTATTATTCACCGAATACGAATTTTCTTCACAGTTTAGTAAGGAAAACGCTAAACTTTTAGCTATGGCATCAATTATATCGAATGTTTATTTGGAATATTCAGTCGGTATAATTGATATCATAACTAGAAGTTCTGTATTTGTTGCTTATTAGGTAATAATTATGCCATCAAAAATATAACTTGTAAAAAAACCAAGTCTCGCAACTAAGTTATTCTACCGTAAAAAGTTGTGAGATCCACGTAATACCAAGTCGGTTAATTTATTCAGTCCCTAATTAAGGGTTCTTCTGTTTTAAGTTATTACGTAATTAGCTAACATAACAACATTTTATAGTAACCATATCAATATTAAAGATCTTATAGTCAGTCAGTGAGTGACAAGATTAAGAAACTTTGACTAGTTACACTTCTTAAACTACTGTTTACCATGTTTATACAATGTCCACTCGGTTACCCAAAATTCATGCTTCTAGTTTTATCCTCTACGAAGTTATAGGGAGTCTAAAATGGCCTGAATTGCTTCGAGAAAAGTATGGTACGGCCGTGCCGCTTTTTTGCTCGACTTGGTGGGGGCACTACCGTGCCCCCAGATACGCGGGTCTACTGCCAACGTTTTTCTTAAGGGGAAATATAACCTCAAATGGCTTAGCAAGATCCGCCGTTATGCCGAAAGTGTTGCAGCATTAATTTTGAAAGAAATATATGGTAAAGTTGAGGATTAATGTTAAGGATTATGTTAGACGAAAACACGATTCCGTAAAATTTTCTCGATAGAAAAAAAATCCAAAGTTACCTCCAAACTGAACAATAAACCGCTGATATTCATAAAATACTTTAAATAAGATCATGAAACTTTGCATACTAACTGAACTAACTATAAAGTAGTGTTTATGTTATTTACTTTTTTTAAAATATAATTATTTTCACTTTAAAAAGAAATTACCTAAACTATAGGCGTCTTGAACTCTTGAAGCTTGATTCCTGTCGCCCCGTTAGTATCGCTTCGGCCTTTGAAGGGGGAGGTTGTGTCGCTTACGATCAGAATACACATTACGAAACAGGACGACGTAAAATTAAAATGGGAAATAACCGTAATAAAAATAAGAAGTGACTGGGTTGGCGTTGAGAAACAGGCATAAATATGATAAACCTAATGAAATAAGTATCTAACGACCTATCTACTTACAGTATTAGTGATTACAAACATGTCGGTACATAGCATACGATGCGCGGGGAAGTGGGGGCGAAATTAGAATTTGAGCTGACTTACTATATCCCCTTAATAAACTGTGCTGTCGAATTATCTATATATTTATAACAATAACTAAATTATTTTAACGTTGACTTCGAGAAGGAAGTCTTCTCTATGGAAGTCTTCCTTTGTTACATCTATCCTTCAAAAGTCAAGTGAAAAGTTATAGGCCTATATCAAAACTCTCTGCGAGCCAAAGTTTTTGAGCGTATAATATACAATCAGCTTTGTTTTACTTAAGCCTCTTTTAATACTCAAACAACATGATTTTCTAAAAGTACTGTACTGTCTTTAGCTTAATAATTTTCAATATTTTAACGAGTGATATGGATATGGGGTAATCAGATAAACACACTACTCCTATTTTCACGGAATAAGGTAAGCTTTTCGACCGCATTTAACTATAGTCTTTACAGTCAAAGCTTTATGCTTTAGGAATCCGTGGTAATTTATTTCGGTGGTTTATGTCCTACGTACGAAATAGAACGCAGGCGGTTGTACTAAATGGTTACTCCTCGTCGTGTGTAAGTACTTATTCCCTCCGGCATTCCACAAGGATCCTTATTCGGTCCTCTTTTGTTTTTAATTTTTATAAATTATATTAGTATACTTGTTTTTACCACGCAAATATTGTTTTATTTGCAGATGTTACGAAAAGAGTTATAAATAATGTCTCTGATGCATACTTATTTTTTACAAGATGATTTGAATACATTAAATATTTATTGTGAAATAACAAAAAGATTTAAACGTATCGAAACGTAACAAAGAACTGTCGCGTAATACTAAATCTGACCCGTCCTTCCATAGAATTAATGTCTACGAGAGTTAGGAAACCAACTTTATCCTTAATCTGGCAAGTGTGCACGGCGTGTGTGCCAATGGAACCGTTTTTCATTTTTCCTAAATTTGTAGACCTCACCAAAGAGTATATTCTCTCTAACCTCCATCAAGTGACCCCTCAGAACCATAGATAAGAGTGCTCAGAACTTAGAGTATAAATAAGCAAGGTATAGAGCGCGCGTATCGTTCATTGCAAATTACGCCCTGAATAACCAGCCATGTTCTATAGATACTGATACATAGTTAGAGCGGTTCAATAGTGACGCGCCGAGATTGATAGTAGTAGTCGATTCCACAAGGAAGTTGTGCGAGGACGAAAACTTATTTTAAATAGCACAGTGGTGGACCGCCAGTCATCCAGATAGTTTAGATGGTATCGCGAGTTTTGTCGCGATGTGCGGTGGTGAAATTAAGCGGCTAGAATTAGCCCCAAGAATTCGTAAGAGCACTCCTCGTGGTAAATGTAATTAAATACGCAAAGAGATGTAATATTTCTTCGCAGTGCCAGAGCGTCAAGCCGATCGGAAAGAGCTCGGTCACCGACGATTCGAACTGCTCTGCGCTGGATGCGATCAAATGGAAGAAGCTGGTACTGAGGAGCCCCCGGCCCAGAGATGGGAACAGTATTCCATGTGCGGCCGAACCTGCGCCCTGTAAAGTTGCGGCGGTGAGCCAGCATGAAATACTGCCCCGCTCTGCTGAGCACACCAAGCTTTTTAGAGGCCAATTTAACCTTATTTTCCAAGTGACCACGAAACTGCACGTCACTCGATATGTCGACGCCGAGGATTCCGATACTGGCTGAGGCAACAAGGGTAATGCCTTGAAACTGAGGAGATAAGACGAAGGGATTCTTTTTAGCGGTAAACGCGCGAACTTATGTCTTCTGGGGATTTAACTGGACTAGATTTAGTCGCCCCCAGTCTGAGATTTTGTTCAACAAAGTCTCGACTTCAGACACAAGTTTGTCCCGGTACTCAACGACGTTTTCCCGAGAAATATTAACACGGCCGATGTATAAAGCAGCACCAGTGCTGTCGTCTGCATAGCAATGAATGCTGCCAATATACAATATGTCATTGATATGCAGAAGAAACAGCGTTGGTGATAGCATGTCATAGTCTTGTGGAACACCAGCGTTAATGAGCTTGTAATCGGAGCATGCACCATCTGCTACTTGCTGTTAGTTTTTAACCGACTTCAAAAAGGAGGAGGTATATGTTCGACTGTATATATTTTTTATGTATGTTCACTGATTTCTCCGCCAATTGTTGACCGATTTTCAAAATTCTTTTTTTATTTCAAAGCCTATACTCTTGAGGTAGTCCCAATATTACCAAGTCAGTAACTGATGATGAGATCCCAGGGAAATCGAGGGCAACCCTCAAATTTTATACGCACATACAATGTTTTTCATATACTTTCTAACGTTATTTATTTATTTGTGCCTGGTAATCATCATCTCATGCCGCTGAGCTGATGATGGAATAAGTCAAGATCTGATGTTGGGATCCCAGGAAAATTAAGAGCAATCCTCAAATTTTATGGGTCTTATTTAAAACAGTATTCTTCCATGTGATTTCATGGTCATTAGGTCAGGATTAGATGATAGGATCCCAGGAAAATCAAGAGTAACCCTCAAATTTTATTAGCACCTACAATGTTTTTTCGTGTACTTCCCAAAGCAATTCAGATATTTGTGTCTGATAGTCATCATCTCATGGTGCTGAGCTGATGATGGAAGTGAGAACTCCTTTACGGTTCTAAAGGAGTTAGGAGTTCTTAAAATATTATAGGTACGTTTAAACCGTTACTCCAATTATTTAGATGTATACAACGCCTAACGCCTCCTTGGTACAATAGCTAAAGTGTCTAACTCTCAACCCCGTGGTACTGGGTTCTATCTTACGTTCAATTTTTCACTTTGTGATGTTGGTCCCAGTTTGGTTAAGACTTTGCAGGCTGGTAGCAGGAAAAATTATGCTGCGCTTC